TTTTTTATTGACACAATACTTCACAAATACAGCATATATGTAGTACCAAAAGGAAAACTACAGTCACTCCCACTCTCACACTTAAGAGAAATTATACTATGTTATATTAATTAATTTTTTATGGTAATATATATCAATTTATATATATCAATTTAATATATATCAATTTTATATGTATATGTATCCCACCTGACTTTCAATAAACTGTTTTTCTGGAGAACTATCTTTCTAAATGGTATTGCAAATTTATAAAACACTTTTACTGTCTTGATAAATACTGCAAATTCAAGTACTTTTAATTAGTTATTCGTGTTTTGTTTTAGTTATCTCGCATAGGAACGAGGCGCTGTTCCTACATAGGAGGACTGATAATTGGTGTCAGTTCGCTGGCTTTTGGGTGCGTAACTTTTGGTCGATATGGCGCTTTTTTGTCGCGTTTTTTTTTTTTTAAGATTAAACATTTGATTATAGACCTACAATGGGCGGTTAACTTTCATATAGCAAAATGGAATCTTAGCAACTTCCCTTCACATAACGTATATTCCAAAACTGCTCACGAAGCTCAATCAATGTTTAGTTGACACATAAAGCGTGGGAAACGTATCAATCAACGAGAATGACAACTGCAACAAATTTTGTAATGGATGTCCTAACTGATTGCTCTACAAATCATAACAGAAGAACCACAGTTTTATACCCATTAAAGATTACCATACTTTAGATAAATCTTACTTGTAAAATATTTATGTTTTAGTTTTTTAGATGCCTGCCCTCCCGGTGACACTTTTCTTGGGCTTGCTATAACAATACGCGTGATGGAATCATTGGGTGCTTCGATGTCTTTCGCAGCCAACTATGCCCTAGCAACGAAGGAGTTTAGGGACAACGTAGCAACAGCGTATGTGAGTAGACGACAATCCTATAATCATTGATGATACTTATAATTACAAAACTTAATTTACATCGTTAGAGAAAAAATACTAAGTAAATAATAATAATAATAATAATAATAATACTTAATATTGCATGAGTTAGATCTATTCTTCACATAGGCATGCACTGAAGTGGTTTTACAGTCGAGTTTCATATTCACTTTTGCATTGAGTTTCAAAATGATTTTAACTTATAGTCAAGACATTTTAAATTCTCTTTTATACTGGTATAAAGGTCTTTTTTCAACAGCACATATTTCTGAAAAAGCATGTATGAATCAATAATATTATCCCGTCATTTTTATGCTAGGGATTCTTGGAAATGTGTGCAGGACTCGGTAACGTCTTGGGCCCCTTGGTAGGTGGCAGCCTCTATCAGCTGGGAGGTTTTGGCCTGCCGTTCTACGTGTCGGGGCCGCTGATGATCATCACAGCAGCTGTGGCATTTTTTACTTTACCAACTGAGATAGAGGAGCAAGGTAACTTGTTACAGTTAGTATTTACTAACTTGGCTGTGAAAAAATTCAAAATTTCTAGCTGTTAGACTGGGTGTCGCCAATTCTTTCCTCAAATTGCGACCACGTACCTGCAGTTATTAGGGGTACCATGCACGTTAAATAAACCAAAAGATCAAGTTCTGAAAGATGGCAAAAGACAACTTATTCCATATATTGTCGTGACGCAAGCAAAACCCACTGATCATGGCATGAAGGGGAACTAATTAACATACATGTAGTGGAAGTTAAAATAATGTCAAAAGAAAAAGGGTGAAAAGAGAAAAAATACTTTACAGCCTTATAGAATGCATGTAGGCGACTAAAAGCCTCCAGAGCTAGGAGATTGGTGGAGAAATATGAAGGAAGATAGTGGATCGTAATCGCCGTCACTTCGCCAGTACATGTATGTATGGAGATATAGACAGTGCACGCAAAAAATAACATGTTAGTATTACAGTCTGAAATTTATTTCCATATCAATTATTTAACATTTTATTCACAGATACGCCAACAGACTACGGACAGCTTATTAAAATAGCAAAGATACCCGCTATACCTCTGGAGCAATTAGCCGTTTGGGTAGGATATGTTGGGCTAAGTGCTTTAAGTCCCACGCTAGGAGGCCATTTACAGAATGTAAGATATTTGATTACAAGGGCACTGTTATTCTTATGCTAGTGAAAAGATACTTTATAATTACGTTAGTGTGAAACATATTACATGTAGAAGAATATATCTTAATGCCCATGCATGGGGTCATTGAATTGAATATACACTTTCAGTTTTTATATATTTTTTATTTCTATTTTATTTTATTGTTTTTTTTTTATTGCATGTGTTATTTATTTTTTAATGTCGTGTTTACAGGTAGGTTCCTCTGTTCAAGGCAACCATATGATGATCGGTTTGGCGTTTTCTTTGACTGGGGCCTTTTACACGTGCTCGGTACTATTGTTTGGTTTCATAACAGACAAATACGTAAGCTGTTTTTCTTTTTAATATCTATTTTTAATTTCTTTTTATTATTATTGATTTTTTGTAATATGTTTCAATTGTTTCAAAGTCGCATAATAACGACGAAAGTTAATACCTCACCTGGTGAAAGTTTCACAAAATAACTGTAGTTCCAAAGCATACAAATGAGTATAAACTTCCAAAAATATATAAAATAAATGTACTGTTTTTCTTATAGAATCAGTGTAAGGTAATGATAATCTTGGGACTCATCGTCATGGCCGTAGCCTTAACTCTCATTGGACCCTGGGGTCCCCTCAATCACCTATTCCCAAACGGCAAGGGGTAGGTACCAATGCCATAACTTCAGGATCATGAAGACATTTCATTAAAATATATTGTTGCTGTGCTAAATGTTACAATGTTGTAATTGATGACTTTATTTCCAGAAACAAAAATGAAATACAGTGTTGTTCGAAATACTTGTCACAACTAATGAAGTTTATGGATTAGGTCACAAACGTCTACATTTAAGGGCTCTGTTATCTTTGCATTTACAAAGGCTGAAAAACATGCAAAAGAAACAAAAAGCTTCTTCATGGAAAACACAATCAATTTCAAGATTTCAGTCACATTTCTGAATTAAGTCAGGTACACAATTAATAATTTCAGTAGCGGGTGTGACCCCCCGGTGAACGAAAAAGGCCTAGTACGTGGCCTCAAGGTGCTCACTAGTGCAACCAATCTTTGTAT